CACACACATGGTTGAACACACACATGTGTTTACACACACATGGTTGAACACACACATGTGTTTTACACACACATGGTTGAACACACACATTACAGAGAGTATTTGTACAGCGTGTTTTGGTGTTCAGGTGTTCAGCAAATTCCTCGTTCGAGTTTTTTCTTACGGTTGATGGGCGTTCCTTGCGTTATTCTGGGTTGGTGGTGCAGTGTGGTTATGGAGTACACAAGGACGATGTCACGTTATTCTGCGACCTTTCGGCAAGTACATTTTCGGCTAGCACAATTTGCTCGTTTGCCTCTATTACTATGTTTAATCCAGGATCGTAGAGCAGAGGAGGATGGCCTATATGTGGCGTATGCGGCGTCAACTATGTTGGGTTTAGTAGTGGATATATTTACCGGGCTGTGTTTCGCGGTTTGTGTGCATCGGTATGAGAAGGAGGTGATTTATGTGTTGCAAAAGAGTACTAGTTTACTGACAATTGATTCTTTGCGATTGTTGATCACGTGGTTAACGGGTGTGCCGGGAGGCTTCAAGCTGAATAACAAGTTAGACTACTTCCTTGCTTCCATAATGTATCAGTTATTGTCCGCTTGCGAACGTTTGTACGATCTGGTTAAGTCATTGGAGCTGCCTGTGGTGCCTGTGTTGACTGTTTGTAGCCTCAGCGGCATCACAATTTTAGGCGGCGCAGTAATGGACTTGTTGTCGTTCGTATCACTCTACCCATTTCTCATGAACTTTGGCATGTGTCACTTCGTCAGTCCCTTCATGTCATGTCTGTCCTCGCTGTTCTCTCTCTTCCGCGGTCGCAAACTCAACATATTAAAGCAACGCATGGACACACTCGACTACTCTTTCGACCAACTTCTACTCGGCTCCATCCTCTTCCCTTGCTTCGTCTTTCTCACGCCCACGGTGCTGCTCTTCTACCTCTCCACTGCCGCACCCTGGACCCTCTGTCTCTTCGGCTACATACTGATACAACTCGTCATCTTCTTCCTACAACGTTTCCCCCACGTCGTCTGGGTCCTTCCCATGCTCCAACCAGTCCACACCAAGGGACTGGAAATCAATCCCTCCCCTTGCGACTCCCCTCCCGATCCCCGCCACACCTACTGGGTCGTATCCACCATACCCAACAACCTCAAAGACAACATAATCAAGCCACTCACCTACCAATGGCGCGAAATCAAAACTGCAGACATGATCAGTCTCTGTTCCATTCTCAAAGCCCTACGTTCAGCACAGTGCATATACCCCCACTTTGGCTTCCACACGCTCTTCGAATCCGTCTATGACGGCTTCATGGGTCTGGCTCCACGAAATGACGCCACAGACTATGACCACATCGAAACGCTGCCGAGACTACCTTTCCGACACGTCAGACACATCATAAGGAACCTCCTCTGACCATACAGGCTGCCTGTGTACGTACACCCTTTATGCTGCCCCTAAACATGCCATACCCAAGCATGCTACCGCGTTCGGAGGGCAGCCCTCCTATGAAGCTCGCCTAAAGCCGGGTGTATGGTGCACCGATGGAAAATTTCCTGACTGCGGTGACCAAGTTGCCGAAGGCCCGTGTGAAGGAGCTGGTCCGCGAACGTCCCTTCGATTTTAGTGCAATGTTTGGTCGCATTTGTCTCCGGGACCTGGTCAGTTTGGAAGCGGCATGTCGGAGTGCCCGGCAACTGGTGCAAGCCGGAGCTTTAAGTCGGCTGAACGAGATCCTTCTCGAACAACTAGGCCTGATGGGCGCAGCGACGGGGAAAGGGGAAGCGACGGGAAAAGGGGAAGCGACGGGAAAAGGGGAAGCGACTCAAGAAGATGGAAGAAACTGCCTGGGACGGGTCGAGTGGGTCACGGCGATGGGTTGCAAGTACCATTTATGCGCTCTTGAGGGTGTTCGTTTGTGGAGCAACCAACAGGTCTGTAACGGGTTCAAGGCCGCTCTGGACGACGTTAACAGCCGGTTGCAGGGGCTCATAACCCAGCCGGAACCGGCAGGTTCCGGTGTGTATCCTGCGCTGGTTGAACAAATCCGAGCTAGCGTCGACCCGCTTGCTTTCATGCTCCATGAACTAAAGGAACTGGATAACCTCAAAGCTCTCGGAGATGCGCCAAGACTCGACCAAACTCCCAAACCCGACGACCAAACTTCAACTATCAATTCAACTCCAA